AGTCATAACCGATTCCAGATAGGAAACCTTGCATGACCTACCGCATCACCTATGGAAATGTGCTGCATGAAAAAGAAAAATCAATAACTGGATAAAAGTTTTTTTCCAGAAATGGCAGAGGAGAATTTTCATCATAAATAATTTCTTAAAATGAGATTGATTTACTATGGAATTTCATTCCTGCCAATACTGGTTGTTATGGCCTCAGGGCCTTAGAGTAAAAAACAAAGCTACATTCACTATTGGTTTTTTGGGCTTAAGTGCTGCTATCTGGGAGGTCAAAGAGAAGTAGCCACATAGGTTACTGTAACTGCATATCTAAAGGTCAGGTTCAACAACAGCATTTAAACTGGTGTTCAGGGAGTCAACTAGTCTGGGGCAAGCACTGGCTAATGTTCACCCAGAGTCTTGTCTGCAGTGGGGGTCTGTAAAGGAGAACATCCCCATTGGGGTTACCACTTATGTCAGCTTGCAATGGTAATACGTTTCGTGAATGAATGAATATATGAAAACACACACACACATGTGCGCGCACACACACACACACTAAACAAGTCTGACATAGACCTGTAAACTGTATAAGCAACAATGCTGCTTGACTCTTTACAAACGTGTATGTACACATGTGTGTAACATAGCCTCATTTGAGCTCGGGGACAACCTGTGAAGGACAGTTTGTTGTGGGTGAGATAATTCCTTCAATGGCTGAGGTAAAGAGGCAAGATTTGGTGGATCTGATAATGTGAGGTCAGGAGAGAAATGGATCCTGACAGCCAGTTGAGGATTGAGTTTACAATGTGATCAGCATGTACACATGAGTATTGTGGCCAGTGCAAATCCCAGATGGAAGAGCCAACTAGAAAATGTGTTCCCTAGTGTCAGAGAAAGCCATCTCATCACCGAATGCAAGTCATTCAACCTCATCCCACGAAGTGAGGGTCCTGCTACTTATTAAACACTCAGAGGTGTCTTTAGTGTAAATGCCTTCCATTTGGGAGAAAACACCTCTGGATGCTCTCATATCACAGATGATGTTTATATAACAATATACATTTTGTATGGGAAGTCTTTGGTAAATGAAAGTGCTTCTTCACCTTCAGTGACTGCCCCCATCCTTTGGCCCCCCATGTAATCACATCTGTGACAGCTGCTTTTCACCTCTGGGAACTCTGAGTCTTCCTTTCAGAAGGAGTTCCCTTTTGAGCATAAGTTCCAGAGGACAAAGATGAAGCTCTCATTTTATGGATACTTCATTGTATTTTTCCTTCTTCATGATATGTTTGTGCTCAAATGCCATCAAAATCAATTTTTTTGGGCAGGGCACAGTGGCTTACGGCTGTAATTCCAGCACACTGGGAGGCCGAGGCAGGTGGATCACCAGAGGTCAGGAGTTCGAGACCAGCCTGGCCAACATGGCAAAACCCGTCTCTACTAAAAATACAAAAATTAGCCAGACATGGTGGTGCATGCCTGTAATCACAGCTTCTCAAGAGGCTGAGGCAGGAGAATCGCTTGAACCTGGGAGGTGGAGGTGGCAGTGAGCCAAGATCACGCCACTGCATTCCAGTCTAGGTGACAGAGTGAGACTCTGTCTCAAAAACAAATAAACAAATAAATAAAAATAAAAAGAAATCAATTTTTTGGCCACATACCTTGTGGCCTTTACTTCAAAGTCAACATTTTCATTGGAGAAAGAAAGAGAGAGGGAACTTTTCTCATACTCCAAAGCACTTATTTCAGTAAGACCATTCACATTCCCTTATGGCTCAAGTAATATTAATTTATAATGTGTACAACACAAAGAGAGATTCAGTTTCAACCATTTTTCACATTCAAATATGAGAATAACGCTTTACTATTCCCTAAAGAGAGGAGCTATTTAACTTGTCCTGTGTTTGCTCTATGAGAGGCATTAATGGCCTGTCCTCCTCTATCTAGGGATTAATACTACTGTCATCTTAGTAAACCACAGCCAGTAGATTGGATTTTATTCTTCGCAAGTGAAGATTTTCACTCATTTGCCTATTCACTTACCAAGAGGAGGCTGCATACAAACATCTTGGTAATATAAGCTGATCTAAATTTTAAGATAGAAAGGTTACAAAACTGCCTTTGAGTTACCTTCTCCACTTTTGGATAAAAGGGTCATGAAATGACTTTCTTTTGGGACCAAACAAAAATTTATAAAAGCTCATTCGGAAGCTTTTTTTTTTTTTTTTAAATAGAAGCTAAAGAGAAATAAGCTCTGGTATTTGGTGAGACAAAAAGCAAACCCAGCAAGCAAGTGACAGTTTAATCTTAGTGTCAGCTTCAAGTTAACATTAAGTGTCTGTGTTAAAGACTTGGAAAGCCTTTACAGAACAGAGAGATGTGTGAGCATGTGTGGCCATAGATACGAGTCCTGTGTGAGTGAAGTGTCCAGGCTCAGAAGTCAGACTTAGGAGCTCGGTGACTACGAGCAAGTCATGCCATCCCTTGGAACTGTGGTTTTCCCAGAGGTAAAATATGCATACGACTTCCCATAGCCACTGCTGAGAGAATTACATGACATGACTTTTGGGTGTGAGGCACAGAGTGGGTACTACAAGTTCCACTTTCTTGTTTTCCTTCTCCACCATCTCTGAGGCCCCTAGTTTCCTGCACTGAAATCTCTCTCTCTCTCTCCCTCTCTCTCACATACACACACACACACACACACACATGCATAGACACTCGCACTTCCCTAGCACCCCTCAACAGGAGAGACTGCTAGAGCGTTAGTTCAGTGGGCAGGGAGCCATATGTCTGCTCATTTCAAAGGAACCACGTTTTGGTTAGGACAACAATACATAGTTTGGGGTTTCTGTGAGCCAGTCGGGTCCTCTGCTCATCCAGGCTCGTCACCTCCCTCAAGAACCTGCTTTCAAAACTCACTTTCTCCAGGAACACTTCCCTGAAGGCCCCTCCTCAGGGTTCACACAATGATCTGGATTTCCTGAGGGTCTGGCAAGCCTTGCTTGCCTGCAGCCAGTGCTCACTCTGTCCAGCGCCGTGCCTGTTGTACATGCACCAGGGCGCTTGCTATGCCAGGAGGCCACTTACACGAATGTGTGCTCTCGCTGCTTCAGGAATGTCGGCCACGTCCCTTCAATTGGGTGATTCAAATGCTCTAGGAAGCCCCTTTCCTGCCCTGCTTAGTGCCTCACCAAGAGCAGTTAGTGAATCTGGCCAGGGCAGTGGTGCTTACACTCTATGGCAGTGTGCCCGTCCAGAGCCACCTCAGAGGAGACCCCAGTGGCCTCTGATCCAGCTTCTTCACCTTCCTCCTAAATACTTCAGCCAGAACATCTAAAAGCTGCTGCTTGATGATACCTCTTGATCTCTGGTGGGCACATCTTTTTTGCACTTCTTTGTCAAAAGTGGTAGACACTAGGACTGGGATTGAGTTGCACATAGAGTTTAATTTGGAGAGAACTGACATCTTTATAATATATTAGCGTTTATTTAGATCTTTTATGTTCTTCAGAAATGATGATTGTGATGATTTTTGCCATAAAGTTCTTAAATATTTCTTTTGGGTTAATCCTTAGTATTTTATGGTTTTGTTGCATTTGTGAGTGGGGTCTTCATTGCTTTCATGTTTAAATAATCCTTTAGGTCAGCAGTCCCCAACATTTTTGGCACCAGGGACTGGTTTTTGTGGAAGACAATTTTTCCATGGGCGGGTGTGGGGTGAGTGGTGGGGATGGTTTTGGGATGAAACTGTTCTACTTCAGATCATCAGGCATTAGATTCTCATAAGGAGCCACAACCTAGATCCCTCATATGCACAGTTCACCATAGAGTTCGTGCTCCTGTGAGAACTGAATGCCTCCTATGATCTGACAGGAGGCGGAGCTCAGGTGGTCATGCTCGCCCACTGGCTGCTCACCTCCTGCTGTGTGGCCCAGTTCCTGATGGGGCATGAACTGGTACCAGTCCACGGCCTGCTTTAGTTCAATTACAGGTGCATTAGGTAAGTATTATTCCTACTTTTATATTTTATGCTTTTATGTTTCTTAAGGTGTCTAGTGCATGAATTTGTTAAATATTGGTATTAGCAATACAACTTGTTATAGTGAAAAAATGTAAATCAAAATTTGAATCTACACAAGGAAGGAGAAATTACTATAATTGTCGGAGAGTGTGCAAGAGTCCACAGAAAATGAATAAGAAACTTCAATTTTTGCACTTTCCTTCTCAAAGTCAATACTAAATTAAGAAGTGCATGCTATTTTACAGGTGTTTGATTTTTCAAAAGGAATGAATGGTTAAAACAATGAACATCTTAGCATCTTGTTGCGATGGTAATTCTCTGAACATATAAAATTAGGCTTGGGGAATGTAATAAAGGAAAGAACTATACAGTATATCAAAGAGAAGAAAATGAAAGGAAATGAGAGAGGAACAAAGCATTTGGATGGAAGAGAGGAATAAGGAGACGGGAGAACTCATCAGGAATGTGTGAGGCAGACAGCAAACATTTCCTATTGCAGCAGTGACTCCAGGACTAGAGAGGGAGATATTCCATTATACAGCAAATACTGACCAAGCACCTACGTAATAACATCCTTGCTGTGCTGGTACTATACAATGGTGGCCAAACCAGATGTGATCACTGTTCATAGCTGCAAGAGAACCATCAAGTAAATAGAACTTTGTTGGTCATAACAACAGAGCCCTTTGACACGGCATGGATTAAGAAAATCTACATGGCTAGAGACATATATTCCCTAGCAGAAAAATTATAAAGGCAAGTACTCATTCAATTCATTTAGCAAATATGTATTGGGACCCACTTGTGCCAGGCACTGGGGATAGAGCCAAGCCTGCCCTGAGTCCTGCTCTGTTGGAGGTATAAGGGCCGAGACAGGCAGCATACAACAAATAAACACGTTCATGGGGACAAGTGTTAAGGAGAATGCAGAGCAGGGTGAGGGAGAGAACTCAGATTCACTTTCATTGTTTTGCTTCTAATATTTTCAAAAGGTTGCTTGAGTAAGGCCTCTGATCAGGTGATATGTGAAGGCTGACTTGAAGGAGGGAGACCAGGAGCAACTGCATATCTAGAAAAAGGGGGAACATGTGTAATGGCCCTGAGGCAGGAGTGTGCTTGCAATTTGCAAGGAGCTGCTAGGCAGTCAGAGAAGCAGAACAAGGGAAATGACATGTGAAAGAAAAGAGAGAAGGGTAGAGAAATGAGGGGATGGCAAGGAGGGGAGAGGAGGGGGAAAAGCAGGGGAGGAGGGGAGGAAGGTGAGAGATGGGCAGAGAGAGATGAGGGAGAGGAAGGAGGGGAAAGGAGGGCAGAGAGGAGGGAAGGAGGGGTGACAGAAGAGAAGAGACGATGAGAGGAAGAGAGGAAGCAGGAGGGAAAAGGGGGAGAGAGGTAGAGGGGGCAGTTGCAGGGGGTCTGGGGTCTCTGTAAGCTCTAGGGCTTTTGCTGTTGGTGAGATGGTTTTGAGCAGAGGTGGGGCATGATTTGACTTACATTTTAGGGGAACCAGGATTCTTCTATGGACAAGTTTGGGGCATGCCTTTTCTGGGGAAAGATTCAGGGCCACAGTGAAATAAACTGGATTCGTGAGTCAGCAGACAGCCCTTCAAAAAGAGGGAAAAGGGGAATTTCCATCTCTTCCCTATAAATTGAGAACTTGAGAAGACTGGACAAAGGTTACTAGGGATGGGAAGAGGAAGGTGAACACATTTGACTCTAACTGGGCTCTACTGTGGAGTTACATAGTGTGGTCCTGGGAAAGTAGATTTCCCCTAATCAATCTCATCTGAGAAGCATGACATTTGTGAGGAACTGCTCATGAGAGGTGGGGCAACAGAGAGTATTAAGCAGCAGCGCTGGCTCTGACAACCTGCATTAAAAAGCTGGCTCTACTATCCTAGGACTGTGGCCTCAGGCAGGTAAGAAAACCACTTGGGGTCTCAGTTTCTTCATCTATAAAATGAGGATAACAGATTCTTTCTCATGGGCTTGCTAAAAGAATTGAGTGAGATAATGTTTGCAAAGCATAGTACCTGGTACCTAGTAAGTGCTCAGCTGTGAAAACCAAACACTATTATTATCACTATTACTCACCGGAGCAAGCAAGATTCTATCCTGAGGTCCTTTTCTATCATTTCTTAATAACATTTAGCATTTAACTGGCACTTATTCTCTGCCAGGCCTTGTTGTAAGTGCTTTTCCTATATTAGCTCATATACTCTTCATTTGTTTTAGTTTCTTTTTTTTTTTTTTTTAAATTTAGAGACAGGGGTCTTGCTATGTTGCCCAGGCTGCCCTTGAACTCCTAGGCTCAAGTAATCCTCCTGCCTTAGCCTCCAGAGTAGCTGGGATTACAGGTGTGTGCCAACATGCCCAGTGTATATTAGCTCATATACTGTTTAAAACAACCCTATGAGGTAGGTATTATTACTCTGTTTCTACAAATGAGGCGGTTGAGGCACACAGAGGGTAAATAAATCATCCAAGGTCACACAGCTAGTGAAGGACAGAGCTGGGAATAGAACCCGGGGGGTCCAGTTTCAGTCAATCCTCACTCTTATCAAATACAGTACTAGACTACCTTTCTGCTGATTCAGTGCTCATAGTTCTTTATCAAAGACAGGAAACAAACTGGGTATAGTGGCATGTGCCTGTAGTCCCACCTACTCAGGAGGCTGAGGCGGGAGGATCACTTGAACCCAGGACTTCAAGTCTAGCTTGAGCAACATACCAAGACCCTGTTTCTAAAAACAAACAAAAACAACCGACAGAAAACAATTTTCATCTTGAGTCGTGTTCGGGATCTTCTGTGTTTGGTTTTCTGCTACTCAGCAG